AAAATGAGGTGGGAACAAAGCTGGAGAGGACCTGCCCCTGCAGACCAACCTGAGGGAGGCAGGAAAAGCTCTGTGTGCCCCTCGGACAGCTACCAAGTACAGGCAAGCTGTAATTTCCGAAGACGAGTAGCAAACGTGTCAGTGCTCACACGTAATTGAGGTTGTTTTACAGGGTGCTGTCGGATGTCTTACAGACCGCAGGACTGGTGACACTCGATCACGTCCCCTGCAAGCCGATGCGGCTCTTCCCACAGACTTCGCTGCGCGGGAAGGGGAAGGATTCACAGAGCTTCCCTAGCCTCAGGGTCCCTAGGGGCTCCTTAGAAAAGCCCCCTCTTTACACTGCTTGTGGGAAAAGGCATCATCATCTAACAAACTTCCATCACATGATGAGATCTCTTAATGATTTAAAAATTAACCCCAGACACACTACAACTGAAAACATAGATGTGATATAATCACCACAGGGATCCAGCAAACTTTGCAAGCAGGCTCTAAGTCTACATGAGTACTCAGGAGAGAAATCCAAAGATGTTTCTGTAATATGTAGTGCACAAACAGTATTTATAATAGCTGGGAGGTGGGGGCAGTCACATCTGATCGTACGTTCAGAATGACCATATTTAATGACTAAGATGCAAATTCAATCATACTTTTAAACTGCTGCTAACTGTAGGGTTTTTTTAACCTGTGAGGATAATTTGACTACTCAGCACTAATACCTGGAATGGCATGTAATCCTTATTATACAGCCGTAACTTGTGAAAGAATTAATCCCCATGGGGAATAAAGAATCCTTTTTTTTTTTTTTAAATGTTAAAAGCAAGGAAACTTCTTAAGAAAATCCTCCCTGTGAAGTGTCATCACCTGGCTGTTCTCAGAGCAGCCAGAATGAGGTGGGGGGAAGAGACAGTCCTGCGGGGGGCTGCTCAGACCTGTGCATTTCGGAGGGATGGCATGCAGCTTGCTAATTTTATCTAATGGTGAAGCTGCTTTTCTTTAAAGCTGAAAACCGGAGCTGCTATCTACAGGGAATCTATCCCTGCCCAATGGATCTTTAAGCAGTACCTGAAATATCCAGGCTGTCATGCAGATGGTCCCTGTGTGTTCTGTGACTCGGTCTCTGACTTTCCGCGTGTGTTTTGTTAAGTTGTTTATTTTATACTGTTTATCTTGAAAGCCCTGAACAGGCCAATACCTGGCTGCCACTTCGTTCTTCCGCTGTGTGCTGTCCCAGCAAAGCAGACTGGCTGGAGATCTGTCATACTTTGGCATAAGGTTCTCGCTGTTCTGGAATATCCTTCAACATGAGACAAAAATAGCTGTACCATCTCCAGCAGGCAGTACTGGGCTCCTCAGCAGGCCAAAGGACAGCTTTTGGGCAAGGACCTCAGATCAATCAGCAAGATAACATTTTCCCGGTAGCTTGTGTTCCCCACCCTTTGGAAGGGCGATGCCAGACCTGCATGATGAGAACATCTATTGCTGCAGAACAGCCCAGTGGGTGGCTGTAGCTATATGGCCTCCTTACAAATGAAGTAATAAGGCTGAACAATTAGAAAGGAGCCACTACAATTCTGTTGTCCCATGGCCAAGTGCTCTGTCTGAATCACATCTTTATCTCGCTTTGACTTCCTCTGGAGCTGGGGTACATTAGCATAATCATTCTTGCATCCTCTGATGTTCAAATTTTCTTCTTAGTCTCCTGCAGCCTTGACCCAAAAGCTTTTCATATTTCTAGCAGAAATCAAGATTTTTATGTAAGCAGCAGTGAGGGATTTAGTTTGCATGTATAAATATACAATAGTCTCACTACTCTGGCTGCTAGCGCAAAGTGAGTCCGTGACAGGGGTTATATTCCCTTAGCTCAAGGCAAAAAGCATACGTTAACTGACAATGAATTATCCCATTGAGGAGCCTGCAGGATGGGGATTATTGCTGCTAACACACTGTCTTACCCTGCATGCAGTACATAGAGCAAATTTCTGTTAGCAGATCTGGAACACTGGCAAGCGATAATGTGTAAATTCGTTAGGTGGCACCTCAAAGCCCAATGTGTGTGTGTGTGAGGCATGGCATCCATTTCAATAGGAATTTTGCCTGCAGGAGAAGGAGACTCGTGCTAATGCTGCTGGATCATATTAGTAGATCAAAAATCTAAGGGGATACAGGAATGGCAAGCAGCCACGTTAAAGGCACCTCCCTGCATAGTACACACCTTGGATTCCAACCCAGAGTAAATAAATGCTGGCCTATCTGGTGACAAGACTATGAAGACTGTGATCTAGAAAAAAAGGGACAGAATCGGGACAAAACTATAGTTTCATCTGACAAAGCGAATCTCTTCACCAGACTGTAATTTTTAAAAGTCTGGAAGAACTGAAGTATTTCACCATCCTGGAGTTTAGGTACCAAAATTAATACTATTTAGTTCATTAGATCTTTACTTAAACCTCTTTGTACAGAAGCTGGAAGACTTGGCCCTCAGAGCAGGATTTCCAAGATGCCTTCCACTGGTCTCCCAGTTCTTACTGGAATATGGAGAAAGCTCACGGATTTTACAAATCAAATGTGCCTAGGCATAAGTTATTCTTGGAACCATAGAATGGTTTGGGTTGGAAGGGACCTTAAAGATCATCTAGTTCCAATCCCCCAGCCTTGGGCAGGGAAGGCATAGCTGTGGGTAAGTTGCTGAAGGATCAGGGCAATGAAGCCCTGTGTTGCTCTCGCCTCAACTTGCTCTGGTACAATCCTGCTTTCAGCGCTCGGAAGGGACCTCCGGATTAGTCTCTTCCACTAGGCACCCCTCCTCAAGGCACCCACAGTTTAGTCTAGCTAGCTTACCTGAGCACACTTTGAGGCCTGATATGACTAAAAGACAGGGATGAGTTGCTCTTCAGTGAATGAAATCAGTGAGCTGGGGCTGAAGTCTGGCCAATCCCATCTTACGCACAAACCGCTGCTATTTCCGGCTTTGGTGTGCTATTTGTGGGTGGGGAGCCACGGAAACCCGTTTGTATTGTGATGCAGAGGAACTTGCTCGCAGAAATTCTGCCTTAAAGAACGAATAGAAAAACACTGTTTCTATAGAAATAAACTGAATGAGACTCCCAGAAACAAAGGGCATACAACTTCTTCTACGTGGTCTTAATATTTAAAAAAGAATGCTCTGAACAGCAGCGCTTCTGATTTTTCCTTCCTTCCATGCTACCGGGTTTATCATAATCGATCAAAACATTTTCATCCCATGTCACCACTTTTTCTGTTGAGCCTGTTACCTTTTCTAACAGTAAGATCAAAGAAATAAAATTTCACTTCCAAAAATAAGTCCCTGAGATACGTAATGTTCTCATGAATCACAGTGCTACAAAACGTACGCTGCCTGCTGCACGCGGTTCCTTTCCCTGTCCTCGGCATTGCTGAAGAGCTTTAAAAAAAACCCCTCACCACAGTGGCATTCTTTGCATGGCATCCTGCAAAAATCCTCTAGAAAAGCACCAGCTTTGTACCTCTACCAATCAAACAACCTGTCTTCGGGGATAATAGTCCACTAACGGGTAATAAGAGATTCTGTACAACGGTGACAACTAAGGCAGCGCGAAAGCAGGGAAAACAGTGTCTGTAAAAAGTTTAGATCTTCCTGAAAACCTTATGGACTTCCTGCTGTTTACCTGCATTTTTCATCCCACTATCTGCCATGACTAATTAGTTTCATGTCCCTTGGGCAATATCATGGTAATTAAATATCAGAAACCATGGGGAAAAGTGGCAAGAGATTTTTTTTTTTGCTCTACAGTTTAACACTAAGGGACAAGCACTGACCTTGCACCAGCGTATTCAAACACCAGGATTTCCTTGTGACATTCCCAACCATAAATCCTAATACGCCATGCAAGGATCGGTTCAGTAAAATTCCATGAATGGTACCACAACGGAAGGCTTACAAGCAGCACTAAAAAGGCTGACACTTAATGCAAATTTTAGGAAGCTTCTTCAAAGAGCTGGGAGACAATTTGTAACTAAACAGTTTTATTGACTGTTTTTTTGCAAAATAAAAAACACAAAATAACCACCAAGATTAAAGGCCATAGACAGCATTAACCAAATGAACCAGCCACTTGGTTATAGTAGCTGATAACTAGCACAACTGGATATTATTGCATATACCTCAGGTTCCTTTATATACCCATTACAGTTTGGCAAGATTACAATCGTACAGTAGCTTTGGTTGTGTAAAACCTAGTAGCAATACTTACTTAAATGTGACTGGTTAACATTTTATAACAACTGGTATTAATCTCATCTTAGCCTTGACACATCTTCTCTCATCCATTCTTCTCCACAATACACATTAGCACTGACCAAGAATAAAGAGACATATTTGCAACCATCATTTATAGCCCTTCTTTATCACTGTACGGTGATGAATCTTAAAAAGGGGCAGGAATCTGTTACTTGCTTTCCTTACAAAAGTTTGTAGAGCAGCATCTCTTTCCACGCCGGGTGGCTTCTACCATCCTGTGGTAGCATCTGCCAAGAGTGAGTCCGTTCTGAACGCAAATATGTAGAGGTGTATATGGCTTTCGGTCCAAAGCCTGTCCTGACCTACAGTACCGGGGTTTGACTGTACTGCCTTGCCTTTGAATACAGAGAAAAACCACAGACAAACAGACTTTCACATTGATATGCTGAGCTGCCAGCACAAAACAGCATTAACGAACCTAATGCGCAATACTACCTCGGTTACGGAATTGTGCCTGAGACGCTGTACAGGATTGCATGTGTATGTTCTACAGTCTATGTAGTTTAGTTTTGGTCTTTTAAAAAATGCTCTCATCCTTACATAACCTAGTGTAACACTGCAGCTTTAGAGCAACGGTTGATAAAAAGTCATAAACATACAGGCTAGTCGAAAACACTGGAGGCTTTCCCTCCCCTCCCCCCCTTGCACCACTTGTGCAGAGTTCCTGCCTTTCTGCCATCATTTTTCCCCCAGCTTTCTGGGAATACCTACATCCAAGGGAAATACACGATCTACTTAAAAACAATCTAACATCTTGAGTTCTACCTGGGAAAAGCTATAAAACAATTTGGGTCAAACTGAAGCGATCTTCTGTGTGAAGACCCTTCTTCATTTACAAAATACTGTAACTAGATAACTCCTACTTGGTTTTGCAGCCCTTTCATTTGCTTGCAGTGAAGCAAGAAGGAATTCGGCATGAGGAATGGCTGCATGGTTAAGATCCCACAGAACAAGGTAACTGCCATGCAGTAATTCAAATGCAAGCAGTGCAACTGCTTTTGGTATTCAGATCCATACTTCTATAAGGATATAAATTAATAAGCCCTTCTAAATGATTTTAGAAATATTCTCTTTGATCTAGACATATAAAACCTCTGAATACTTAGAATCACTAGATTTCACATGGCCCACAGAGTCATAATTATTTGCACTTACATGGCAAATATTAGAAATACATTTGCCTGCAGTTGAGCAGGTAATTATACTGCCTATTATTCAGCTGAGCAAAGATCAAGCACTCTATATCTTGCAGTTATTGGATCTTATTCTAACCCTTTACTTCAGAAAGGGGAAATGAACATCTAATTATATTACCAGTGCACAGTACTTAGTTTAAAAAAGACAACCTATGCTAGGCATCTAGATTTTTTCCTAAGTTGACTTTCTATGAGATACTCTAAAAGCGGTCTCTTACGACTGAAGATTGTCTATTTCACTGTACTCGCATAGTAAAAATAGTTAAAATCTAATTACAAAGCTGCTACATGGTTATTTTGTGGTCTGTAAAATAAAACGTTATCCAGAATTTTATCTGAACAAAATACACTAGACAGTATAAAAATATTTCCCAATTGGAGGTTGAAACATTAATGCTGGATTTTTGTTTTGTATAAAAAGAAATGTAATCACGGTAGACATTTACCTGCTTACCAGCCAAAAATATACATATGACTTTGAGGAGCTGTTCCAGGCTCACTTTCAGTGAGCTTGTGCTTTTGACCCTAGCAGTAATAAATGCACACGTGGACCAAAGTTTCTTGAAAACCTGAACTACATTTTGTTCCTAAGAATAAGACTAATTTCTGACACTGGCTATGGATTTCCACTTATTTGTGTTGTTCAGGCAACTACTGCAGAGGAATTCCAGAAGCACCACTTCCGCTTTGAATGATGTTTATTCAGTGCAACATCTTCCTTTTCTCTTTCCTTTTTTACTCGCTGGTAGTGATCTTCTTCCTTTAAATACCACACAGGCGGCCAGCGATGCCTCTCAAAATATTCTTGATTATCTGATTAAAAAGAAAAAATCAAAAATCCCCCAAACAAGACTGTAAGATTCACAGATCCCAGAAATGTCCATGCCACTAATCACTTATCCACTTTCTGTTAGCCAGCTTATTGAGGATTCCCCCCATTTCCTCATATGCCTTTCTTACAGGGTGAAAAGACTTTGAAGGTGGGTGCACTCAAGAGGCCTTAAACCACCAGAGTGTAAAAAACCAAGCCCTTTACAGGGTGTATTTTTCATTGTGGAGCCTAAGAATAGCTCTGTTCCTTTCAGCATTACTGAAGTAGGTATAGAATATAATGCTTGCCCAGGAATCAGGCTAGTGGTTATGACCTCACTTTACAGAGAAGAAGAATTCACAAATGCTACTCAAGATAGCGCAGAGGGTCAATCTCATGGCTTAGCTACCTGAGCTCATCTTTGTCTTCATATTTAATCAACTGGGTGGGGAGAAAGAAGGAGAAACCTCATGAAAACTGGGGAGGAAAGCTGCCCATACCTGAAGATTTAGCTTTGATTTCCTTGCGGAATTTGGAGCAAACACTGTTGTAATGGGTGCAGATGTAGTGCAAGCACCAAGCTGCCAGCTGGTTAGCATTGTGGAACTGTAAAGGAAAACAAAGAGCTTAGTACACTTCCTGAAGTTATCATTCATTTTGCAGCCCCAATTAACAAGTAGAGCTACAATGGTCCCCAGCAGACTGTACCCGGCAGCACTCTCCCAAGCATACAGTGGAGCTTTGGAGGCTGAAGTGGCCTCTAGGTGCCCTTGACCTTGTTGCACAATGCCGCTGGAACAGCCAGTGGCCCCAAAGGCTGGTGAATAGGTGCTCAGCGCGCACAGCACGGACAAACTGCATTCAGCCCCACACGGGATCTGAACCCAAGGCAGGCTGGACCTGAAGTTTCTGGTACGATCGTCGGTGTCTGACGAGAGTCAGACATCCCTATCAGTTACTGCAAACCCTGCTCTGCAGTAACTCCCTGGAAAATGTGCTCCTTGATAGAAATCAAGTATTACTGAAAGCTCAATACAAAATCCTGTACAAGCTTTCTGTGGTCGTAAGAAAGCAGAGGTGTAATGCAAGTCAGACTGAATAGCATGTTTAACTATTTTGGCGTTCTGACTGTCTGCTATGATCCTCTCAGGTTATAAACACATCATATTGATGTAGGTACTGGGCACAGAGGATATCCTAACAGCAGTTGGACATATTACATCTGTCTTCAACCACCAGAAAACGAAAGAAAAAACACACTTCATAAATTCAAAATTAAGTGAAGCGAGCTGCCTTGTCCTGGAAGGGGTTCAGTCCTGGTCCTGCTACAGCAGTATAGGTATTGCAACAGGGGCACTTGACAGGAGCTGCAGGAAGCCGCGTGCTGGCCAGCTGGTACTGTATTTCAGTGCTACTTTAAACCCCAGCCAAGCTGCAGACAGAGTCATCATCACTGTGCAATCAAGAATAATAAAATTGAAAAAAACCGTCACTTGTACTACTGTATCTGGGAGACCGCTGTAGCACGACCTTTGGAAAACAGAGGTGTGTGGTTTAACTGCGAGCTGGGGCTTCTCTCTTCCCATGGTTTCTGGGACTCAAGAAACACTGAAACACGTGTGAACATGAAGTAGTGGGATTTGCGCTCAGCCTGAACGATTAGATGACTGGCTCTGAGTAGCTGCTCTAAGTGTCAAGTCTAAGAATACAAAAAACGTTGCCTGTGCAATACAGGTGTAAATATACCCCCAAGAACTGAACTGAAAGGAAGCTATGACTCATTCACCATTACAAAGCGCAACAGCTTCACGACGTTGCATTTCATGTTACTAAAGCATGGCCATGAGAATGTGGAGCTTGGAAGCTCCACAAGCAAGAAAAACTAAGATTTGAAAGACAACTCCTCCGAGATTAAATAGATGTTTCACCTTTGAACTAATGGAAAAAACCTTACTTAAAATAGAATGTGAAACTAAGCTTTATTGTCGGTCATTCCCAGCATTGCAGACTTTGAACCACTCAGAAACAATGCTCAAAGCCAGTAAGGTACTAAAAGCAAGTCCTGCAGCTGGCCGGAGTATCTTTAAAAGACAGTGCACACTGACCTGTGCCAATTCCAAGTAGGACAGTACTTCTCCATCTATTGCGATGCCGCTCATGGAGGCTTTTGTCAGCTCTTGTACCGCATGCTGTTCTGTTAGAGGAGAAAACTCATCACTCGCATGGGAAACGGTCACATTTCAAAGTCAGATCACCCACAAGTAGTAAAAAACCAAGGCGGCATGTTCTCCCTCCTAGTGTTAACTCCAGCATTATGCAAGTGACACATTCACCCAGATACCCTGAGCACCTTCAGATCTGAGTTTTTCTGTTAGAGGAGAAAACTCATCACTCGCATGGGAAACGGTCACATTTCAAAGTCAGATCACCCACAAGTAGTAAAAAACCAAGAAGGCATGTTCTCCCTCCTAGTGTTAACGTTAACTCCAGCATTATGCAAGTGGCACATTCACCCAGATACCCTGAGCACCTTCAGATCTGAGTGAGGTCAGATTCTGGCCTTTAGAGTTGCAGCTGGAGATTCTGCATCACAGGTATAAACTGTCTTGCTCAGAGCACAGTCCGATTCTGCATCACAGGTATAAACTGTCTTGCTCCAGTGGAGCACAGTCCATATGAGGATTTGCCCCTTCGCCTCAATCCAAACTATTTATTTCTGGTTTCACACATGATTCTTATCTCTTGCTTACAGAAAGCGAGCCTGCAATTAATAACCACTAATAGAAGGACAAAGTTCAGCAGCCACTGGTCTCTTTCTGGCAGGAAGGATGGATGCAATATTCAGTATAAATCAGAAATATGGATCAGATGTCTCTTTTGAGTAATAGAAAAGCAACAGCCAAGTTTCAAGGCAACAATGCACTTGCCATTGCACTGTGGATTTATTAATGAGTATACCCATAGCACTGATGCACAAAGTTCACTCCAGGCCTTCTTCAGATTCTCAGGTTAGTCATTCCCAGGGATCCAGATGATGGCTGACCAGCTCCCCCAAAAGTCACTTCAGTTCGATTCTCCTTAACCCTTTACTAGAGTCTTCGAAGTTTGAGTGTTTTGGGGGAAATGTTGTCAGCTGATTTAGAATCACAGAATCGTTTGGGCTG